GTTTATTGTGTCATGCTTGTGCGATTTTGTCATACGCAAGAATCAATTGTTAGTACACTACACTTTGACAGAGTGATCCTACTGTTCTTTTTTGTTCTATGATTCAGGCATTCGAATAAAACTCGATAAAACTCGAGACGTCGTGAAATTTGTGGATCCTCGGACGTCTTTTGAACGCGTCGCGTTTTCTAGACCGCGATATGATGAATGCGAGACACGTTAACGAGTGTAGTAAAAATGTTGCGTATGGCGGGAACATTGTCGAGAGTGAACGGGTCAAGTTGCGAGCACCTTCGTTAACGACATTTTTTCCCCGTCCCGAGTAACAATTATTTTCGCGCGCCGGATGAATCGGGATTCCGTTCGAGCCTCGGAACTATGAAATTTTTCCAAAAATCCAGTAGACTCGCGATGTCAAATCCGAGAACTCCAAAGAATTTAAACGGATTTGCAACCACCATTCGGCAGATTATATTTCGTATGAAACAGCGTCCGAGTTAAGATCCATCACGTGTAATATTAATACTACGGCCTGTCACGAGGCGACGTAGACGTAGACGTAGTCTTCATGTTTCGTTCTCATATTTTAATAATACGATGTCAAATTTTTAACTTCATCGTTCACGGTTTTCGTCGTGTACACGCAAACTGCTTCCATTCTTTTATTCCCCTTCGATGAAAGCTGGAGCTAATTTTTTTGTCAAGCTCACGCTTTTTAACGGAAAATTCGTGCAAGGTTTCCGCGATAAACGGAAATCGGAAGAAGCGGCATAACGTTCGATGGTAAAAGAGGCGAAAAGCTTGACTAGTGAACGGTTTGTCAGGAGGTCGTGAATTAATTCGCGCCACTGCCTATATTCTGGCTCCCACCCACGCCTTCCCGTCGCCGGAAAGTTAAATTCACGACTCGCGCAGGCTACACGAGTTTCCACTATCGTTCTAAAATTCAAACGAGCTACCGTACGTACGACCGTGCCACTTGATCGTCGAGATCGCGCGGCCTGCTTTTAAAATTCACGAACGAAATTGGTCGCAAAAAAAATGGTTTGACAACGAAGATGTCGATCCAAAAATGAATTGGACGGTCAGATGTGAGTTCAAGTAGACCGTTCGAGACTTTACGCGGAGATCCTATGGAACAATCGCGTAAGGAAAAAGCTCGTCAGAATTTTTTAGAAACGATATTATCGAGGAGAGGGTGTCGCGTTTCAAAGAGTGTTTCGAGCTTTCGGGATGCCATGAAAATTCACCGAGGTCGTTTCGCTAGTTTTCCCGGAGGAAGCTAAACATTCACGGGGTCTCGCTGAAAAGGCGCAAGAACTCATATGGGAGGAGACTGGAAGTAAACCGGTGGTGGAGAAAAAGAGAGAAAGACCGTCGTGGCTAGCTCCGGCTCCTAGAGAGCTCGCGCCGCCGTCCTTCTCGTCTTCTCTCTTGGCCTGGTCGATTTGAATAAGCCTCGTAAGCCTGAAGCTCCGGCGAGTTGAAAAGCCGCGCGATGTTTGCCGAATGCCACTTCGTATGCCGGAGCAACGCGGACGTTTTTGAGTGTGCGAGTATATTTTCCATATACGCGGGTTACGGATTGCTCTTGCCCGTGCTACGACCGAGGTAAAGATCGCGGACGAGGAAACCGCTTCTTGACCCAACAGATTGGCAACAGAGTGGAACATTGGTGCGTCCTTAACGAAACTCGACGATTAATTTAATTACCTCGTTATCGCGTTT